AACCGCTGAAGATTCCCGTGTTTTAAGTTCACGATTTTCCTGAAGGACTCTTTTAAATTCATTTTCTTTATCAAGCCAACTTTGCTCAAGATGTAGCAATTCCTCAATTTTCTTCAAAGAAAACGCCTCCCTGGCTTTAAGCTCCTCGTTTTCCTGAACAACAGCCCGCAACTCATTCTCTCTCTCCAGAATACTTTGCTTAAGATTTGACAACTCCTCAATCTTCTGAAGTGATGTAGCAACTTTGGCTTTGAGCTTTTCGTTTTCATCAATAGAAGCCTTCAGTTCATTATCTTTATTGAGCAAGCTCTGTTCAAGATTTGATAACTCTTCAACCTGCATAAGTGATGAAGCCTCCTTAGTCTTAAGCTCCTCATTCTCGCAGTTGACACCATATAACTCATTTTCTTTAATGAGCAAACTCTTGTGAAGATTTGACAACTCCTCAATCTTCTGAACAGATGAAGCAGCTTTGGCCTTAAGCTTTGCATTTTCATCAATAGCAGCCTTCAGTTCATTTTCTTTATTGAGCAAACTTTGTTCAAGATTTGACAAATCTTCGATCGTCTTAAGTGATGAAGCCTCCTTAGACTTAAGCTCCACATTTTCGCAGATGACACCATGTAACTCATTCTCTATAACAAGAAAACTCTTATTAAGATCTGATAACTCCTCGATCTCCTTTTGGGATGAAGTGTTTTTTGCTTTGAGGTCCTCGATTTCAAGAATCAAACCCTGCAACTCGTTTTCTTTATCAAGCAGACGCTCTTGCAGCTTTGACAACTCCTCAATTTTCTTCAGATAAGCAATCTCCCTTTCCCTGAGCTCCTCGTTTTCATGAATAGTGCTCTGCAGTTCTGTTTCTTTATCTGCTAAGATCTCATTTACCTTTGACAGCTCCGAAACCTTTTTAAGATAAGCAGACTCCCTTTCTCGGAGTTCCTCATTTTCCTTAACAATGGTTTGCAGTTGGGTTTCATTATCAGCCAACCTCTCATTCACCATTGACAACTCCTCGATCTTCTTAAGATAAGCAACCTCCCTTTCTCTGAGCTCATTACTTTCTTCAATAATGCTCTGAAGTTTGGTTTCTTTGTCAACCAAGCTTTCTGTCGCTATCGATAACTCCTCAATCTTCTGAAGATAAGCAGCCTCCCTTCCTCTGAGCTCCTCAGCTTCTTGAATAAGGGTCTGAAGTTCGGTTTCCTTATCAACCAAACTTTCATTCACCTTTGATAACTCCATGATTTTCTCCAGCAAAGAGGATTCCCTTTCTCTGAGGTTGCTGTTTTCTTCAGTGATATGTTTAAGCTCATCTTCTTTATCCAAGAAGTTCTCTTTAAGCTTCATGCTCTCAGCTTTCGCTTCTCCAAGAATTTCCTGCAAATACTTAACCTCCTCCTCGAGTTCGTTAACATTGTTTCTGGACGTGGCTTCTTCTTCTTTTGCTGCACGTGCCTCTTCCGCGCTTTCTTTAAGCAAATTCTCCAGCTTGTTTATTTCCTTCTGCAGAGAGGAAGCTTCTTCTTCTGATTTTTTCACACGATCCATCAAATGAAGTTCTTGTTGTCCCCACCCATTCTTAGAATTCTGGAACTCATGCTTGTTATCCTCGAGAGCACTTGTCAAATCGGCAATTTCATGCCTTGCATCTTCGAGCATTTTCTCATACTTCTGATTTGTTTCTTTCACAGCCAACTTCAAACTTTCAATCTCAGCTACATGGCTCTCAAGCTCTGCTTCACATGTCAGGAGCTTCTTCTTCGCCTCTTCTGCTTCACTGGATACTTTCTGCAAAGCCACCTTTAAGCTTTCAATAGCTTCCTTGCTCTCCTCTTCTTTTTTCTTAAAGCTTTCCAACTCGCTTTCAAGGTCCCTCTTTTCTTTCAATAGGTTATGAATATCTTCTGTTGCAACCTTTTCATTGTCCAAAGCCCTAGCCATTTCCTTTTCCGCAGTTTCAAGGTCAGATTTCATTGATTCGATAACCTTTTTCAGCTTAGAACTTTCTTCCTTTGCGATGCAGGCTTGGCGTACTGATTCCTCGAGATCTTGTTTTTGTTGTTCAATCGTCATCTCTAGCATCTCTAGGGCTTCTCGTAGTGTGTCATTGTCTGACTTTGCCTTGTGCAGCAGCTGACTGTTTTCCTCTGCCTGCTTCATAACAGACTCCATAGATTCTGAAGCAGATCTCCTCAACTTGTTTGATTCTTCAACTTGTTTTTCTAGTTCATCGACCTTTTTCTTCCACTCTGCTGCCAAGTTATTAGCACAAGATTCAGCTATTTTAGCAGCTTCTAGATTGACATGAAGCTGTTCTATGGCACCTTCTTGCTCCTCCAGAGTTTTCTCAAGGATACTAACTTTCTCGAGTTTCCCCTTCAACATTTCGATTTCAGATTTTAGCTTGGAAACCACCTCGTTTCCTTCTGTACCCACTTTTTCTTCCTTTGAACCGAGAAAAACCTTTAAACGGCTTAACTCGGAAGAAAGAATCTCCACCTTCTCGGCCTGAATTTCCGCGATCTTCGTGGCTTCCTCGGCGTGGTTGAGTGCCTTGTTCTTGGCATCAGCAGTCATGGCCAATTCTTGTTTAACCCTCTGGAGTTCTTCTGTGGTAGAGAGGAGAGCTGAAATGTCCAAAGTGTGCTGGTTTCTGATAGATTCCACCTCTTTCAGCCACGCTTCTTTTTTCTGAACAGCCTCGATTCCCGCATGTTCCAGTTCAACTGCTCGTAATTTCTCAATCTCGGAAACTTCCTCAGCTCGTTTCTGAGCTTCCAATGCCTCTCTGAGTTTCTCATTGGCTTCTTCCGCCAATTTCTCAGATTGTTTAAGATCATCAAGTGCCTTAGCTTTCTCTTTCTTGAGAAATTCTATCTGCTCATTGGCTTTCTTTAGATCTTCTTGAACTTGATTCAGCTGAGCCTGCAGATCAGATCCCTTGACCAACCCCAACCGTGGTTGCACTTTCTGAAATATCACAACAAAATACAGGTAAGCTTTTTTTTCCAGTAAGAAAACCCTCAAAACATTGCACATGAAAGGAATAGATTTTACGTCAGTGCATCAGACTATATGATATCGGGAAATTCCATATACCACCTTTCCAGTTTCAGATTCATTCTTAGTTCAAGAACTGCATTCCCTAAAAGATATGATATATCTCGAAAGCTTGTAGTTTACATTTCATTTTGGCACGGGATTTCTCAAAACCAGCATGCCCAAGATGTTCAAAGCTCTACACTCAAAAACCAAAACAACAATAATCGAAAGGTGGGCTTCCAATTACATGCCTCGGGTGGAGTAGGAACCCTAGCATTCCGCCGATCAGAAACAAGCTTCGAGTTAACTGATTGTGGGGATCGATCAAGAGAAAGACGCGAGCTTGGCAATGGAGATGGTGAATTACCATCTGATTTAGCAGCCGGAAGTTTACTCACTCTAGGAGCTGGTGGAGATGGTTTGCTCCGAGGAGTCTCCAGTAACCCGGTCCTGTGACAAACCATATAAAATCACCACAATGTCTCACAACTATCAAAGACACTAAATGCACATACAGAACACCATCTCCAAACCTATCAAACTGTGGATCTACATGTACCTTTACCAAAAGAATAACAATTATGCTAGGGAATTATACAAAACATACAAAAGGGTACAATTTTACGAGCGGTGCAGGCATAATTTGCATTGGATATTCAGGATTCAAACATTTTCTGCTCGGTCGGGAATAACTTGAACTTTTTTCCTGCCATCAGACCCTGTTCATCTCAAACTACAGATCCAATGATCAAAAGTTGCATATCATATGCATATGCATATGCATATATATATATATATATATATATATATATTATGATATTATGCATTTGATTGTGTTGAAAAATGGTCCAACAGCAAATTCTCACAGAGAGTAATTGAAGGAAAAGAGACCATAAATCTCAAGATCGAGTGATGACAAAAGGAAGACACTCTCATATTACAAAATTACAGGAGAGGACTTTTGAAGTCACAGTGACCAAAATGAGAGACGGACATTTTTCCAAGAGAGTCAAGATCCAAATAGATATGGCGATTTACTCAAAACAATCAAGCAAAATATCAGATGAATTACCAAAAAAACTGCCCTGAGAAATGTGACACACAATAGTATCCGACATATTACATTCCAACAAAGAAATAATCAGAACTCAAACATCTCAGATTCAACTGCCACTGAAGTAAAAAGAACTTGTTGCAGAGAAAGAACGAAATACCCACTTGGTTCTCGACGCCATTGTTGCAGGAGAAAAAGCTTCAAACGCAAGAGGCAGCACAGAATGCAGAGAGAATCAAGATTCACAGAAAACCCCAAAATTCCGAGGAATGAAACTCAACTTCCGACATGAATGCGAGATGCTAACAAGAACCCGGATCGATCCTGGTATGATGTTTTGTCTTCCCCGGTTCGAATTGGTCGCTGCTCCAAAAAAGTAATGAGCTTTACAACCAAACACAGAGATATTTTTGCACTAAGAAACCAGAGAGAAGAAGAGACGTCTGGGTTATGGAACCTCCACAGAGTGGTCACCCTCTATCTCCCTCTCTCTCGCTACCATATTAGTTTTCTTTTCCTCTGATTTTATTTATTTCCTTTCCACGCCTTTATTTTATTTAATCAGACTAAATTAATTGTCATATTAAAAGAAAAAGGGAAGAAGACGAGGAGAATGGAGATGAAAGGACGAAATTATCCCTGAGACTTTGTACATTTATTTAATTTAATTTAATTTAATAAAAATTATATGATTCGATTTTATATACGTGTTAAATATTTTTTTTTTAGTGGAGTCGAGGCTTAATTTGTACATGAGAGGCAGGAAATCTCCAACTATTAATTTACTTTTTCTTTTTCTTTTTTTTTTTTGGCAAGAAATGGCATGATCCATTTGTGGGTTCATGTGGAGTCATGTGCCTTCAATAATTTATGTTTCCATGTTACAAAATCCAAATCATATCACTTGGATTGTCTCTCTTGGGTCATAAAAATTTCTGTATTTTATTTTTTATTTTTTTTGGTCACCGGAATTTGCATTTTCTTTTTAAATCCACTAAATACATACATTAAGTCGAAACCCACTCCTTCTAAAGTGGGTTACTATATTATCAACACAACAAATTTTAAATCCCATTTCTAATTCTCTGTTGTTGTTATAATAATGGTAAAATGAAACAAAAATAAAATACAACGCATTTTTTTTCCTCTTTTGTTTTACCATTTTTTGTTATCTTTTTTTATTCATAGTTTATTTCTTCTGATATTATTAATCAAATGGTGAAATTTTATATAAATATATGAATTTTATTCAATAAAAAAGTAGAGTAATCGCATATAAATACCTGAATTTTTATAAAATTCCTAAATAAATACCTGAACTATAAAATTTTAAAATCAATACCTGAACTTTTTAAAACTTCCATATAAATACATAAACTTTTAAAAAACTTCCAAATACAACCAAAATCTATTAACGCCGTTTAATTTATAACGGAACCGATGACTCTACTGATTAACGCCGTCAATGGAAATTGTTGTATTTGGAAGTTTTTTAAAAGTTTGAGTATTTATATGAAAATTTTGAAAAGTTCAAGTATTGATTTGGGAATTGTATACCTCAGCTATTTATTTGGAAATTTTACAAAAACTCAGGTATATATATAAAATTACCCCTAAAAAAATTTTAAAAAATCAAAACATATATATACACACTTATATACATATACATACACAAAAAATATACACAGTTATACAAATATATATACACATTTAACACATATGTGTATATATACACACACATGCATATACACCTACACAAAATATACACATTTATATATACACATGTAAAAGAACGGATAAAAATTGAATTGAAACAAACACCCCACTACTAGTTAAATAAAAAAAATTTAAAAAAGAGAACCTAAGCTTATAGAACTACATTCTCTCTGCTTACATAATGGGGGAGTGACTATTCCCAATCTACATTGAGTGAGATTATAACATTGATAACAAATGACCAAACACCAAGTAGACGAAAGAATAAAGCCATTACACGGCCACGGCCACCGATCACAAGCTCGAGATCGGATCAGACCCGACGTCTTTCCGTACGCCCGAGCTGTTCGAATGGAATGTGTAAGACTGAGCGAGCTGGACAGCGTCCTGAACCCGCAGCCTCGTCCCTTGCTGTCCAACTACCGTGGCCGCGGTTCTAGCGGCTAAGTTTCCCATCCCCTTTAGCTCAGAAACCCCTCTTAGTATACCGTATAGGATTCCCGACGCATACGCATCTCCAGCCCCGCAAGTATCAACGGGCACACACGGAAAAGGCGGTATATATATGGCCTCTCCTCTTACGCCGATGTATGACCCTTTGTGGCCATCGGTTACGGAAACAAACGGGACAAAGTGGCTTAGGTACCTCGTGGCCGAGATGGGACTTTCCTCGGGGGAGAAATCACAGAAAGCTCTCGCCTCGTCACTATTTGCAAACACAATGTCTGCGTAGTTACCCACGATGTTCCTGAAAAAACGGTAAGACGTCGTTTTTTTGCCCTTTTGTTATGAATAATTGATTCAATTAGAAGATAGTGAGGAACAACTCACCAGAAATCATCGTAGTGCCTCTCTATGCAAGATACGTCTGACGCTGTCACGGCAACAAGGGCTCCGCATCTACGAGCTTCTTGGCATGCTTTTGTTATGGTCCTTATCGTATCGGGCAATTCAAACAAGTAGCCTTCCACAACAAATATGCTTGTCTTGGATATTAAACTAGCCAAACAAGAATCATAATTAACAGCTGAAGATGTTCCCTGAAATTTGTACATGAAAATCAGTTTGTAACTCCCTCATCTCAATCTACATTGAAAGACAAAATCATTTTTTTTCCTAAACATATATGAAAAAGAAAATATCTTTTAGTTTGATGCTCAAGAAAAAAATCTCCTCTTTGATGTTTCCAGTTCATACAATAAAACATCGATAAAAAGAAGGCTCTAAGCCTTAGCAGACCTGTCAGTAACTTCTGACTATGCAATCGACTTGAACGAAAAATGAACCGACATATTGCTAGAAGTTTTTGCTTATTATCAGAATCCTACCTGATACGCAAGCATAGTACGTTGTGCATCGGGGGTTGTAAGAACTATCACTGTTCCTGTCGTTCCATCCTTGATTGGCGCAGAAAGAAAATTTACATTGGCTCGAAGTAATTTAGTCCTACATAACAACAAATTGGATGCCATAAGAGTTAACCAACTCATGCAAGAAAGGAGAATCACAACAACTGATCCAGTGAACTCAGACAGAAATTTTCTAGTAAATGTCAACTATCAAACTCGCCAGTTTCAGGTTATATGGCAAGAATAAAATAAAAGCCAGTGAAGATATGGTTCAAAGATTAACAGAAAGTCCAAGGGAACAATTTGCATAAATGATTGGTATCAGGCCCATCGGCTATCATTCACCATGTAAGTTCATTAATCCCCAACTCATGGATTATCTCCTAACCAGTCACAGCAACAAGTTTATCAGATTCAGTGACGTGGATGACTAGAAAATTATGATAGAACTAAAAGGATGACAACATTTATTGGTAAAACAGCTTCAAACCTGTAAAAGCTGCCCAAAGGGTCGCCTCCTATACTTCCTGCCATCGCTACATTTAAAGGAGGGCCATCACTACATTTAAAGGCGACAGACCGGCCACCTAATCTAGCCAATGCCACAAGAGTATTTGATAAAGACCCTCCAGCCGCCGCCTTATAGCTACATCCATCCATTGCTTGCAATACTTTACCCCTTTCCTCGTGATTCACAACTTTCCTCGTCCCCTTCTCTAAACCCAGTTTCGCTAGAAATCCATCGTCCACAACACCGGAAAAGTCTACCTAGAACATCTCAGAGCACAGTGATATCAGGACAATGCTCATTAGCTTATACCAGTAGAACAAGAACAATTGAACAGTGTACGAACCTTAAAACAGAGGCAACAAGATAGCATAGCAAACTGTAAGAGATCAAATATATAACATTGATTGGCTAAATGGGTCTTTCTGTGATCATTATCTAAACCTAACTACGATCTTATCATTGCTATAACTGGATCATTCTTGTGACTAAACCCAGAAATATTGGAAGAATTGATTATAACCCATTCTAAAACCTAAACTGCTCCATCGAAATCAATGCGACCCCCCAATTGAAGGAATACGAATCTTCGTCGTTGCAGAAACTAACTAGGTAACCAAACTCACCATGGCTTGTCCGAGACCCAAAACATCCCATCTCTCAGGCGAGGAAGAGGAAGAAACATCTCCGCCTTCGATCTCTTCCTCATCTTCTTCGCTCTCATCACCAACTACATCGTTCTCCTCTTCTTCGCCTTCATCCGCATCATCAAAATCACCTCCATTACTGTTACTTCTCCTACCATACCTACATACATCAGAAACCCAGAAACCCAATTGCCTCTTTTCGGCCATGGAATTCATTCCGAAGCTCACCGAGCCTCTGAAACCGCGGAAAACCCAAGTCGATGCCGTTCCATGCGTGCCTTTGTGGTGATATATACAGGGGAGAGGACGGAGAGACGAATTAGAAGCGGTAATGACGGAAACATTGAAGGAGAGAGAGGTAGAGACATGCGAGAAAAGCGAGAGAGACATGATTTTGGGGATCAGGGTTTATTCTCTTTCCTTGGTTCAAAGCTTACGTAGGGCTCATCTTCATCCACAAAGCCGGAGAGAAGAAGATCGAAGGGACCAACTCTCTCTCCCCGCGGCTAGTGGGTTGGAAAACGAGGATAAAAAAAATGACTCCCCTGACATAAAAATAAAATAAAATAAGTTTTAAAAAGCCCAAAATATATTTATTTATTTTTAATTTGTGATTGTTGTTCCTGTAATTAATAATAAAGTGAAATTGTATGAGAATAATATATTTATAAATTCATTTCCTTTAAGAAGCTAGGAAATTAAGCCTGGTAAGTATCTTTCTAAATTCCTGTTTTACCAAATAATATCTCTTTTATTTAGAGATTAGAAAGCTTAGCCTTTTTTACTCAAAATTGTCAAAATTTCAGTGGCTTATGTAATTTAATGAGCTGAGTTAACTAAAATCAAATTGAAAAATTATAGATTGGATTAACTCATTAAACTCAATTAATCCAATTAACCAATTAGTTTACTGTTTGCTTTATTTAACACTTGATTTTTATTGTTGGATTCATTTTTATTCGGAATCGATTCGTCCCATTCGCATTTGATTCGTTTCAATTTTGAATTCTCCATTCCAAATCACATGTGATGCGTCTTCGAATCATTCAAATTTGGTTTGTTTAGATTCGAATCGATTCGTTTTAATTCGGATTGATTCAATTTTGACTCGATTCGGTTCGGATTAACTTATTTGGTTCGAATCGAATCAATCCATCTTGATTTATTTTGAGTCGGATCGAATCCAATCGTTTCGATTCAAATTCGATTTTTTTAATAAAATTCTCATTTTTAGAAATTTTTCCATTATTTTTATATATCAAATTATTAACAAAATTAAATTAAAAATATATCTATATTGAATCTATTTATAAGAAAATCTAATATTTTATTCAATCAAACTAGATAATGATCAATCTATAAACTTTATTATAATAAAAAAAAGTATGAAATGTTATAATAGGTTATTTGGGTTAAAACTATTTAATCCATAAACTGATTATAACCCAAAAAAATCCCAAATACAATAATAATTTGATTGGATTGGGTTAACTCATCTAATCCAAATTGATATATGAACCTTCGTTTCACAAATCTGTGTTATACAGAAATTAAAACTCAACATATATATATTTTGAAATAGAGAATACATTTTGTATTTTTAATTGGAATTAGAAATAAATCCGAATATCTGTTTTGGAAAATTCAATCAAAAGACAGGAATTTCCGGTTTGATACAGACTTGCAATATCTTTTCACATTGATATAAAAAAAAAATGGAGAATTTTGAAGCTGACGTGTCTTTTGTTTTTCCACAATCACTGTTTTATCGTTCATATCAAGGAAACATCAAACATACGTAACATAAAAAAATCTTCTAAATTATCATGTCATCAGTTATACAGAATTACAGATACTTAGATACCCATATATATACGTATAAATATATACATATACATATACATATGACAGTATTCAGAGAATATGAATCAAGCGGCTAGTATTTAGGTTTTCATTACAGAGCATTATATACTAGTGTTTACAGAGGAGAGAGACCTAGAACATAAGGAAATATACAGAAAAGGAATAAGAGAGTGTTGCTGAATTGTAGCAGAGAATATTGCGTAAGATATATACTTCCTATACGCCCCCGCAAGATGGATCACCATCGGTGACTCCAATCTTGGTGCAGAGAGTAGTGAACAGGGAGCGAGGGAGAGGTTTGGTGAGAATGTCGGCGAGTTGTTCCTTGGAACTGACATGAGAAACGCGAAGAGAGCCCGTCTCAATCTGTCCACGAACGAAGAGATAATCCAGAGCCAAATGTTTCATTCGGGAGTGGAAAACGGGGTTGGCACTGAGGTAAGTAGCACCGAGGTTGTCACAAAAGATGGTTGGAGGCAGGGTAATACCAATATGCAGCTCAGATATCAGATTCAGTAGCCAACGGAGCTCAGCAGAGGCGTTGGCGACAGCTCGGTACTCTGCTTCGGTGGAAGACCTGGAGACCGAACTCTGTTTCTTAGAGGACCACAAAATTGGATGTCTGCCAAGGTACACTATATAAGCTCCTGTGGACTTAAAGTCGGTTTTGTCACCGGCCCAGTCGGCATCACTGTATGCGTGGAGGTGAAGTGGATTAGCTGCTGAGAAGAAGATACCCCTATGTTGTGTACCAGCCAGATAACGCAGGATTCGTTTTACGGCAGACCAATGATCGGCTGTCGGTTTGTGCATGAATTGAGCCAGCTTGTTAACCGCAAAATTAATGTCAGGCCGAGTAAGAGACAGATATTGCAGACTTCCTACTGCCTATCGGAATTCAGAGGGATCCGTCAGAGGTGTGCAAGAGTTGACAGTGAGTTTCGAGCCAGCTGCCATAGGAGTGGAGACTGGAGTTGATTCATGCATGTTGGTCTTGTGAAGAAGGTCACTGATATACTTTTTCTGACAGAGAAACAGTCCAGACTTGGTGCGAGTTGCTTCGACACCGAGGAAGAAGGAGAGAGGGCCAAGATCTTTAAGGGAGAATCGAGTTGACAGCCCAGAGATGAACTGATTGATTTGATGATTGCAGTTGCCCGTAACCAAGAGATCATCGACATAGACTAGTACCACGAGTTGTGTGTCACCTCTGTTGCAAGTAAATAGAGATGTGTCTGAAAAGGAGTTCACGAATCCAAGCTGTAGCAGATACGATCGCAGCTCAGAGTACCACGCTCGGGGAGCCTGTTTGAGACCATAGATTGCTTTGTTTAATTTGCAGATGTGGGCAGGTCTGTTGGGGTCTGTAAATCCCGGTGGTTGAAGCATAAAGACGTGTTCAGAGAGGTTGCCTTGTAGAAATGCGTTGTTGACATCTAATTGTCGGACAGACCAATGCCGAGATACTGCAAGACTGAGGACAAGTCTGATCGTTGCTGGTTTGACCACTGGGCTGAAGGTTTCATGATAATCGATGCCGGGCCTTTGATGAAACCCCTTGGCAACTAGCCGAGCCTTGTATCTGACCACTGAGCCATCGGGATGATGCTTTATACGGAAAACCCATCGGCAGCCAACAATGTTTGATGCAGTACTCGGTGGAACTAGATCCCAGGTTTTGTTTCGGGATAGAGCATCAAGTTCCGCTGCCATGGCATCTCGCCAGCAAGAGTGTTTCAGAGCTTCTTTGACAGTGGATGGAAGCGGGGTACCATTATCACCTGAAACAACATAAGCAAACCGAGGATTAGGCTTAGTAATGTGTGCTTTTGCGCGAGTGACCATCTTATGAGTGTTGGCAGGAGCTGCGGGAGGTGAAGTCTGAGTGGGGGAGTGGACTGGCTCAGAGACAGAGCTGTGAGAGGAGGGGTCTCGGGCGACATCAAGTCTGGATGTTGGTGCAGAAGGCGTGTTGATACTGGCCTCTATGTTTGGAGGTGTTGGATCAGCCTGGGGGATCTGCTCAGTGATTGGATGAACCAGAGGGTGCTGAAAAGACGAGATCAGACGAGCAGAAGGAGCAGGGGAGGGTTCAAAGGTCTGTTCAATGGAAGCAGAGGGAATGTATTGGGCAGGGGATGCAAATGGTGACTCATGGAAAACGACGTGACGCGAGATATATACTCTCGATTTGGCTGGGTCAAGACAAAGATAGCCACTTTGAGATGGCGAGTAGCCCAAAAAGATACAGGGAACAGATCTGGTATCGAGTTTATGAGCTGCATATGGTCTAAGCCAGGGAAAACATAAGCAACCAAAGGTTTTTAGCTTGCTGTAGTTTGGTGGGGTCTGAAATAAAGCGTGAAAGGGTGAGTTCATGGAGAGAACTGGAGTTGGCATACGATTTATAAGGTAAACGGCAGTAGTAAAAGCATAGGACCAATATGTTTGTGGAAGAGACGCATGCATAAGTAAGGACAAACCGGTTTCGACGATATGTCGATGTCGGCGCTCGGAAAGACCATTGTGTTCGGGTGTGTGTGGAGGGGTGGTGAGATGAGAGATGCCATGTTCCGAGAGAAAGGAAGCTAGGGCAATGTACTCGCCCCCATTGTCGGTATAAAGATGTACTATTTTGGAGTCAAACTTGTTCTCAACCAAAGCTTTGAAGGCGATAAACGTAGAACGAACATGGGATTTGTGTTTAAGTGGGTAGAACCAACAGTACCGTGTGAAGTGGTCCACAAACAGAACGTAATATTTGAAACCGTCAATCGATAAAACGGGTGATGTCCACACATCCGAAAATATGTATTCCAGAGGTTTGGTCGAAGAGATGCTTGAGACAGAGAAGGGGAGTTTGTGGCTTTTATTACTTGAACAAGAAAGACAAACAGATGACAAAGAATCCCGACATAATGGCAGGGCATGATGAGAAACAATGTGTTTGAGAACAGACAACGAGGGATGACCTAGACGTGAGTGCCACTCGGACAAAGTGGACTTTAGACTCGAGAATGCCACAATGGAAGGAGAGGAAGAAGGTGATCTCGGCCACTCATACACCCCTTGGTTCGTTTTTCCCGTCAATAGCAGCGCCCCCGTGCTTAGATCCTTCACCTGAAACATATGAGGAAAGAATTCAACAGAAACCTTGTTAGTCTTGCATAACTTATGTACCGATACAAGGTTCTTGCGTATTGTTGGAACGCATAGAACTTTGTCAAGAGCAATAGAGCGTTTGGGCAGAGAGATGGATAAAGAACCAATGTGTGTGATTGGCAAACCTGTGCCATCACCAATGAAGACAGCATCGGAGCCCTGATATGGGCTGTGGAGAGACAGTGTGTTGAGATCAGAGGCTATATGATGAGAAGCTCCGCTGTCCAAGAGCCACGGAGTTGAGTCATAGTTTGCATTCATCGCAGTGAGGGCAGAGGCATTCCATGGCCTGGGGGATTGAGTCGATGGCTGGTATGCGGGGACAGAGTGATCATTCTGTCTGGCAGTCGACACAAGACGAAACTGGGGGCAGAATTTTACACTGTGACCTTGCGTTCCACAGGCTTGACAGCGGCCACGATATCCAGTCGGGGTTCCAGGAACAGAGGAGGTGGAACGCCAGGCTGGTGAGTGGTTTCTGTGGTAGTGCG